TTTGGAATGGAGAGGAAAATAGAATAACATAGTAGAGTAGAAGTCAATCATGTATCCATAGAAAAAACTGAAATATAGCCTCCTGCTGCCTTCTGGCCCAGATTTATCTACAGATATTTTAACTACACCAGCCTTCCTAAATTGGTGTAATGGCTAGGAATTCTGGGAGTTGAAGTCCTAACATATCTTAACAGAATAACAGAGTTGGATGGGACTTTGGAGGTCTTCTAGTCTAATCCCCTGCTCAAGCAGGAAACCCTATACCATTTCAAACAAATGGTTGTCCAATCTCTTCTTAAAAACGTCTAGTGTTGGAGCACTCACAACACTGAAGGTTTTTAAGAAGAGATTGGACAACCATTTGTCTGAAATGTTATAGGGTTTCCTTCTCTTGAGGATGTCAGGTTGGAGAAGGCTCAGTGAAATAGTTGGTCCTTATAGTCTACTTGGATGCAGGATTTTCTAATTAATTGCTGTTAATATTTCAGATAAAGTAAACATCTTTGAAAGGACTGCTAATCACTGATCACATACATTTGTAAGATTTACCCAAGACTTGCCTAAGATTTCTGAATGAGACTTCTGCTTTCTGAAAGCACTTTCCAAATCTGGAGTTTACATATTTGTGTTTGGCCCTTTCAGTGCTGAGACAACCTGACCATTATTATCCATATCACAAATAATATTATAGTCACACAATGGACCACAATCGTAGGTTGTATATGAGGCTGCCTTTGGAGACAACATAGATATTTCAGCTGATTCAGAGAATGGAAGTTAGATAATTGCCTTTGTTGGCTAATTAATCCTAAAGACAAAATGCTGATTTTAACCTTCAAAACAGATTTCCTTTGCAAAGGTGCAAAATTAGGACTGGTAATTCAGCATTTACAGAGAGCTTTTTCCCACCCTGGAGTGCACTGCCTATAAACCCCATTGCCTGATTTTTGCTGCAATACCAAGAATCTACTTGGTTGTATTCTTATAGCTGTGATGTCTAGAAAATGCACTTTTTAACTTTTAATTATTGGGGAAAGCAAGGAAAAAGACTGAAGCAGGAAAATCTCATATTATCCTCCTCTCTTGAAAAGTCATGGCAAGCAGCAGCCACAGCAATAAGATGGCTGGTAATTAAAGCACCTTTGCTTCTCTGTAGAGAAGTTTGAAGGTGTTATTTTCCAGTCCATCGAAGCACAGAAAATCCATCTGGGGCAGACAGAGCCAATGCTTAGGAAAGGAAACTCTTGAGAGCTGGGGCAGGATTGGTTGGAATAAAGATATTTCCTTACTAATAAGGATCCCTTAGAAAATCACAACTCTAGTTTGCAGAGGAAAAGTATCATTGCATGTGGGGGAAACTTAATTTAGATGCAGAGGCACAAAAATAAATAGAGAAAAATGGGTTGCATGCTATAATCTTATATATGCATACTCAGATTTAAAGCTCATTGAGTCCAACAGGATTTATTCATATGTAAGTGTAAGTAAAATAACAGCCTAAGCTATATCTTGTGTCTTTAGAAAGCAATAGAAATGACTAAGGGAGAAATAACAATGCATTGCAGGGAATGTCTGTGAAGTTATTGTTTCTAATCCTAGACATACGCACATACTTAACACTACATGATTTGCATATTGATATTAATTTATGTTTATATTCAATTCTCAATCTGACAGTATTCCAGAAATTGCTGTTAGAAACTGAACACGGGAATGCACAAAACAAAAAATATTTTGTTTGAATCTCAGAACAAATATATTAGAAGTTCTGCTGAATCATTCTGGATGGGCACAGCTCAGCAGAAACAGAAGTCAGAATTGTTGTTACCGTTTGAAGTTTTTGTCTATGTTTTTGGATTTTCTCACTCTTCCCCACCAAAACTAATACTCAGAACTGTAGGTTAGTTTGTAGCAACCACAACACAACCTACCAATGTGTACCATACAGGTAGTCCTTGACTTACATCCATCCATTTAGTGACCATTTGAAATTAAAACAGCACTGAAAAAAGTGACTTATCACTGTTTTTCACACTTATAACCATTGCAGTATCTCCATGGTTATATGATCAAAATTCAGATGCTTGGCAACAGGCATGTATTTATCATAGTTTCAGTATCCCAGGTTCATGTGATCAGCTTTTGTGCCCTTCTGGCAACCAAAATCAATGGGAAGCCAGATTCACTTAGCAACTATGTTGCTAACTTAATAACTGCAGGGATTCACTTAATAACTGTGGCAAGAAAGATCATAAAGTGGAGCAAAATTCGCTTAACAATTATCTTGCTTAGCAACATAAATTTTGGCCCTAATTGTCGTCATAAGTCAATGACTACCTGTATTCATACCAAACAGACATGTTTTGGTTCAGACAGAAACCAAGTAGCTCTTTGGTGTACAAACCATTTTGTGTATCTGTAGTTCTGAGTTATGATTTGGCTGCAGATAGCCTTAAAAACTGCTGTCTTTCGAGTGACCCTTTTTACACTAGCAGAAAGGAAAAAAGGATTCTAGTTTGCATACAATTTGCATACGCAAACATGGAAGCAAATTTATTAATAAATTTATTATAATTTAATAGAAAGACAATAGCAATAGCATTTAGGCTTATATACCACTTTACAGCCCTCTCTAAGCAGTTTGTAGAGTCAGCATATTGCCCCAACAATCTGGGTCTTGATTTTACCAATCTTGGAAGGATGGAAGGCTGAGTCAACCTTGAACTGGTCAGGATCAGACTCCAGATTATGGGGCAGAGTTAGCCCATAATACTGCATTTTAACCACTGTGCCACCACCACTCCAAGATATATTACTATAGAAGACAAGTCTAAACAAACTACTAATATGCATGTTCAATCAACTATCCAGAAGCTAAGTGTCAATTGACACTTTGGTCACTTTCTCCCTCTGTCACACTTTTTGATTCTAAAATAAAATTCAGACTAGGTAACCCTTCAGAAGATGCTGTCCCACAAACATTTATCCCCTAGGCCTAGTGGTATATGTTTATCCCATTAATTATTGCCTTATCCAAAGGAATCTTGCCTTAACATGTTTAAAGCAAGTTTTCTCCACAATTTTGCATTTCTACTTTGCCATTATTCTGAAAGCAGCCAAATGCTGTTCGTTTTCCATTTTTTCTGAACTTCTCTTTTGAAATTCGTTTAGCCAACACACAATGCCCTTTCTACCTGGTGCTGCTCCTACTTCCTTACATGTAAATATACTTTTCACTCACTTCAAAGAGGACTTCTTTTTAAATTTGTTTCTTATAGACTGGTTAATTTTAAATCCCCTCATTCATTCATTCATTCATTCATTCATTCTTACTATTTATGACATTCATATTCCAAATGTTTGAGCTAAACATAATCATACAGGCTTCTGATTTTATTGTGCTGTTTAATATGTGTGCATGTACATAAACACACACATACAAATAACATAGGGTATATGTGCAGGTTTTATTATAGTGCATTTCTGCATATCAAGAGTTATTACCTTATTTGATATTCCTAAATATAAAACAAAACAGGAAGAACGAAAAGCTGATTGAACTGTAAAACCTTGAAGTTTTAATAATTCTCAAAATCAAGAAAGATGGGGTATGAGGAAATATATAACACCAATAGATAATTCCCAGTCTCTTTTTTATTTTTGTTTTCATCCCTCTTTTAACAGTTCTCTCCAGGACTGTTCAGAAAGAAAAACATTTCTCCTCACTGTTAAGCTAAAGTATTGTCCACCCAACTTTGAGCTGGCACAACACTCTTGATAGTCCTTATCCTGCCTCCTTTGGGTCTATTACAAATCATTATGGGATGTTTAATGAATATGCAACTCGTGAAAGGCAGGTGATTGATTTTATCACTGATTTTGCTGCTGTTCCCTTTCAGCATGTTACAATCAGTGGAGAAAACATCCACCAATCAGCACACATCAATGAGTAGGGTCTAAGTTCAGGACCTTCCCTGTCATTTCTAGGTTGATTTTGTTTGCTAAAAGCTTAAGACCATTTGGGCATCTTCTAAGTTAAAATGATATAAAATAAGGGTGGGGGGAGAAGACTCCAGAGTGGAACTAGGAAGGAAGCAGACTCCATCATGATTGTGCTTCTAGCTTTCAGGGTCCTATAGAGTAGGCAGTCTGAGAAATGCTAGCTGCCAACAGCCAGCATTTTTTTATACTTTAGGGAAGCAGGAGTGAAATTGATAGAGAAAGATCCAAGCCAAGTTGCAAATAAGCCATACCCTCTTCTTGCCCATGTGAAATAGTGCAGTTCTGCCCTCCTTCCTTTTGTTGGAAGCCTGAAGAAAAGCTAGCATAAAAACAACATAGACACAAAAGGAATTCAAGTGACCTACTGCTAACAGGGAGGGCAAAGCATGGGAAAGAAATGCCTGGGGTGGAGGCTGCATGGTTACCAGTGTAGAAGGGCAGCCAGTGGCTCTCAAGACAGACTTCTGATTCCACCAACTAACTGGTCTCCTGAGTTCACTTCCAAGGTAAAAGCTGGTAAAATATATAATATTTTGTTGTATATACATCTTGTAGGGCAGTATGGGGTGGGGGGGGAAGGGGTAGGGGACACTGACTTGGTATATTTAAGTTAATTTAAGTGGTCACCCTCATGGCAACCTTATGAGTAGAGGAAGGAACTGGTATTATCAGGACAAGTGTAAACGGGAACAATGAAATTTCCTGAAGTTGTTCACAAGATCCTTGGGAGACTAAACTTAGTAATAACATTTAAAACAATATTTTAGTTCTTTTAGATGAGGGCTGGTTTAGCTATTTGGATAAAGTGTGTGTGGGGGGGGGGCGGCGGACTTCAATGGCTTCATTCAAATTTTTCTTCTTTGCCTCAAGCACCAGGTTACTTCTCCCTTGCAATCGTAGATTGTTCTCTTCCCCCTCCCTGAAGGGGGTGGAAGAAAATTGAGTAAGGAGGGGAAAAGGAAAAGGGAAAACAAATCAATGAAGGCATCTTACTAAGATGTATCCAGTAAAGAACGTGCTGGCTCTCTCTTCTCTCACTTCTCTGCCTGCCTCTTGGTTCACTCGGTTTGTCTTTCCTCTTTTCTTTAATTTTTCTTTTATTCTAACCTTCACCCAGCCCACATTTCCATATCAAACCTGGGATCATACCTGCAGCAGTTATAAAAAGGCCATCAAAGAGCAGCAGTCTTAAGGGCGATACTCCAGCCAACGAGGGGACGGCGTTGTTTTTCCTTTCTTTTTCACGGACGGAACACAACACACACACACACACACACACACACACACACACACACACACACACGGCACAAGAACACCCCTCCACCTCCTCTTCCCCAGCCGGGAGATCTTTCTTTCTCCTTTCCTGAAGTTTACCCTCTCTGCCCTCCCCACCCGCCGCTTTTCTTCTCCTGCCAGCTTGCCCCGGCCATCCGTCACCATTTCCACCACGGGGAGGCAACGCGCCCAGCCCCTTCAGCGGCTGAGCATTGGCCGGAAAACTTTGGTCGCCGGGGCCATCGGCGTGGTGATGATCTTGATCCTGGTGATCCTCATTCCGGTGCTGGTGAGTTCCGTGGGCATCGACGGACACTACGAGATGCTGGGCACCTGCCGCATGGTCTGCGACCCCTACCTGGGCAAGACCAGCACCACGACCAGCGCCAGCAGCATCAAGAGCGAGGGCGCCGAAAGCCTCAGTAGCACCAGTAGCGACCACAGCGGACTGCCCCCGCCATCCACCCTCGTCCAGGGGCCCCAGGGCAAGCCGGGGCGACCGGGCAAGCCGGGCCCGCCGGGGCCCCCGGGAGAACCGGGTCCCCCGGGTCCCCGGGGTCCCCCAGGAGAGAGGGGAGATCCTGGGAAAACCGGTCCGCCTGGCTTGCCCGGGCCGGGGCTGAGCTCTGGGGCCATCAGTGCGGCCACCTACACCATGGTGCCCCGCGTGGCCTTCTACGCCGGCCTCAAGAACCCGCACGAGGGCTACGAGATACTCAAGTTCGACGACGTCGTAACCAACTTGGGAAACAACTATGACGCCGCCACGGGCAAGTTCACCTGCAACATCCCGGGCACCTATTTCTTCACCTACCACGTCCTGATGCGCGGCGGCGACGGGACCAGCATGTGGGCAGATCTATGCAAGAACGGGCAGGTAGGCGGGCGCCTCCGCTTGGCTCTCCTGGCCGGCCGGTGGGGGAGTCTTGGCTTCCTAGACGCAGTTGTCGGTCCCTCGGGATGGGAAAGGTGGGAGAGTGGACCTTCTGCCGAGCGGTTTTTAAAAGACCTGACGAGCCTTTCTATTTACTGGAGGTAAGGAGGGCTTCCCCGAACCATTTGGGGATCCTGGGATGCCGCCTCCCCAAAGTGCACAGTAACTTTAGTCCGCAGGTGTGCAGTTGGCGAAGGTGGCGCCTTGTCCCGCGAAAGCTGAACTGCGATACTCTCGCGGTCAGTACTAAAACCCTGCCGAACGGAGAGAGGCTACTTCTGCGCAAGTATATAGTGTATAAAATTCTGCGGGAGATAATTTGCAAAACACCTAGAGACGCACCTCGCTGGGTAATTGCAAATATGTGGGGAGCATCCCTTCTTCTATAATAGCATAGCTGTCCAAGAGGTTGTGACAGGGAGTATCAGTGGCAGATATGCCGTGCATTTTCCCCCTTCCTCTGGAAACGATAGGAAGCTCGATTCAATAACCAAACCACAAAATATTTCGCTTATGGAAGGATAGAAGCTAAAGGATAGAAGAAGCTTGTAACTTTCTTAATAGAAACTTAGGTGCAAGACTCCTCAACCTTCTCTTTTATATCTCAGCACCCCACACAGAGACACAAATTCAGCAGTTCCGTCTTAATGCACCAAAAGACCGTTAAAATCCAATAAAGTAATGTTAATGTCTCCTGTCATTTATATTTCTGCTCTTTATTCTGCCCGTTGGGATGAGGGGAAAAAAAGATCAGTGGTAACTAACACTCCCCCCGCCATTCTAGTGCCCCCCCTCCCCAGCTCTTATCCACACCTCTCTAGTAAGCAACCTGACCTTATTTTACGGCATCATTTGATTCATGCATACTTTGTAGCAAACCTTACTGAATTCAATGGAGCTTACTCCCTAACACCCTTGGAATAAGGGAACCACTGGGCTTCAGTACTAGTCAAATACACTGAAATGGAAAAATCGCTTTAATTTGCTCATTTAAATGTCTCTTTTTCTGATTCTCAAAATGTGTTGCATTTCCGTTTTAATGCATATGCATGCACACACACACACACACACAGACACAGATATCTATGTTGCTTTTCTTTAAAATAAGTCCTGAATGGTGGGAAATAGCCTTTCAAAAAAGGAAATTAACTGCCTCTTCAATCACCCTGTCCAGGACCTCAAAAATCTTTTTTCTCACCAAATCATCCCTTTGTGATAGTACAAGTTAATATTGCCAGTGCCAGAGGGAGACTAACAATGAGTTCTTGATGCTTTCTAATTGAATTTCATAATTGAGTCCAGCCTCTGCAGAACAGCTTTTCATGTTGTATCCAACTAACATCTTTCTCTCTCTTTCTTTTTTAATGTTCCTCCTCTCCTTGGTAATCCTTCAGCACTGCTTAACATGTGTTTACACAGATATTAGCTTGCAAAGATATCACCTGTGTAGTTTTCATTAATTAATCAAACAGAAATCTCCACAGCTATAATGCTATCCTCACAATCACAAACTTGAGTTCAATTTCCAAATACTGTTAGGTTTGTTTCAATCCAAAGGTGTAAAAATCTTATGGCGCGAAAGAGAGGAATAAATCCTGCATCTAACATGAAGAAAAGCAAGCAACACTTGTATTTGTTCGTCTTTAGGGTACCAGAAGACTTGTTGTCATGACTTCAATCTCCTGCTCACCCATAAATATTTGTTGAAAAGGTGATTAAATTCACTTGTAACTGCTCTGATACCGTGTCCTACAAAGAAATCCAATCTTTAATCAATAGCTAAGCGGTTAGCATAAACTTAAATATGGAACAACACACACATATACATCCTTGTATGGCTATCTTTAAAAACTTTACTGCAAACTCATTAATTCTCAAAGGTCCAAGGGAAGAAATCTAAGACAGGAGACTATAAATTTTATTATTCCCAGATATGTTTATATTTTAAAAGATAATTTTCTGAAGGTAGAGCCCCAAGTGTAATATTCAGCACAGGGAGGCTCTTCCCTTAAAAAATCACTGCACGTTTCTCCTGCCAGTAGGCAATGCTTGCTGCTTAAGTCTTTCAAATTTTTAGTTATTATTTTTTTCTTGTTTTAACTGCCTGCTAGTGATTATAATATTTATATACTTTTTATGTTTTTAATTGTACACCAACCAGTGTCATGCTGTGAGTGAGATGGGCAGCTTCTGATTTTGATTAATAAAAGCATAAATAGAATTTTAAAAGGCAGATGAGGGGGAGATTCTTCAATTGTTTGGGTTTCCCCTAATGGCTTGACTTCCTCATCGTTTTCTTCTAACTGTGTGCTCTTTTGCTTTTTCATTTATTTATTTATTCAAATTAGTTATAGCCATCCAACTCAATGAACTCTGGATGCTTTCAAGCAAAGCTTGTGGGAGCTTCAAGTACAGCTCCTTCATCTCTGTTTTGATGGTTTATGAGTTCTTTGACTAGATCATTCTCTGCCTAAAAAGAACTCTGATTAAAATGCTTAACAAAATCTTTTAATTTAAAGAAAATGACACAAAGATTTCTCATTGCTTTATTTGACATACTGTAAGTCAGCATCCCTACCCCTACAATATTAACTATTGCAGCCTGTTTCTTCTTGTTGTTGTTGTTGTAGGGTTGTCTTAAATGCAACAGTGGCTCAAAATACTTGATGTGAAAGGCAAGGATGCCTTTCCCATATCACGTATAAAGCTTTACTGCTGTGACAGTTGAATTTAGTTGCATAACTGATGATAGGAAAATGTGCTCCCTGTTAGTTTGGTTGGTGCAGAATAAGTCATCCAACACATATGATTTAGTCCTCAAACATTTCACCACCATCTCCCAGTATCCTTTTCTTGAAGCAGCCGGCTCACTCTGTCTAATGTTTGAGCAGGTCTAACATTCCAGACTAGCGTAGCGTAGGCTCTTATAGAAGTAATAAATGGCTTCTCTGGGCATATTAGCGTGTGTAGTACTATATTGTCAGGCAAGTGTTTGCTTTCCTGGCAGGTTTCCTGATTTCTTAGATTGCCCAGAATTGTCACCAGTTCATTGAAGAATCTCTCTGCCCTGAACAGTTGCATGAGAAGCAGAAATTTGACAGGTGCCACCTTATCTGATATGGAAGTGTAGTAATGGAACAAAAAGGTATCTGCTGAATTTCTGCTTCTTATGCATGTCAGGACTCAGCTCCTCCAATAAATAGACATAGAAGTGAAAGGATTTGGGTGACTACTTTTACTTCTGTGTACACAATATTAATTATAATTGTCTTCATGATTTATCTTATGTCATGTAAATCCCATTTTGGCCACTTTTACAGTAGCCTACTGTACAAATTCTACAAAGATTGGAAGTGCCCATCAACCACAAGATTCAATTCACATCTCAATTTGGGAAACAATTTGCTCTGAACTGACTAGAAGACTATCAAAGTTGATTTTAGGACCTGAATCCAAATTTCAGTGAAGAAATCAAAATATTGGTGTTTGATAGATTTGAAATCAACAAATAACTTCTTCAAATTCGATGAAGTTTGAGGGAATGCTAGCCCTTTATGACAGTATGAAGCCTGCCAATTTTCAGACTAATAGATGAAAGGTATTTTTGTGTTTGGTATGTTTATGGATTGATTTTTTAAAAACCAAAAAAGTAGCTGCTGATAATGTTCTCTGTAGAATTGAATCAAATTTTCAGTAAGTGGCCTCTTCTGATGGAATAAGGTGTATCAAATTTGAAATGTCTAATCTAAAGGGTTTGTTTCATTTGCAGAAGAGAAGTCTTGAAGTCTTATTATTTAGGGGTTTCAAGAAAAGATTCCCCTAGTTGTTAAAAGAGATGGCCTCAGCACTAACATATTAGCAAAATATTGCAATTATTATTTAATTTTATGTGCAAGTAAAATCTTCTATTTTGTGTACTTGATGGGACAGGAAAGCTTCAGGAACTGCTCAGTTGGCATAAAAAAATCACAGTAGGAAGAAATGGATGTTGGCTATGGAAGATATCCACAGCTTAACGAAAAAGGCTTCAGCAGCCAACATTTTCAAAATCTATCTGCTTCATCCTTCTACATCCTGCAATTATGGTCAATTATTTTCTTATCTGTTGCTGAGAAGAAGAAAAAAGAATACTATCAGAGAGCATGGAACTCTTTATATGGAAGTTTGTCTGCCAATTAGTGTTCTTCTCTTTGAAGTACCTCTGACACGTTTCCAGGGGAATCCTGAGGATTCTGCAGAAAAATAATTAATAACGAGAAAAATAGATAAACAACTTTATCAAATTTCTCTTTGTTTGTGGGGTTGGCTTTTCCCAGTCTGGCTTATTTGCAGAAGTGTAATAATTATATAGTTTAGTTGTGGAAAAACAATGCCCTCGTCTATATTATTGTCCAGATTGCAGTTCCCAATCATCCCAAATACTCAGAATTCTGGGAGTTGAAGTTCACATAGTTTAAGATTGCCATGGTTAAGAAACAATAATCTAGGGATTGAAGTAGATGTTCTGGAAGGAAATTCCAAATATAATAGATAGATAAAGTGGCTATAGGAAGACTTTGGTTTTGAGTTTATATATATAAAAAAGACACATGCGCCTGCCTGCCCCCTACTCCCCCGTCCAAATAGTGTTCTTATTCATTGCTTTTAGCAGGTGTTTTATGTGCATAAAGTGAGCTTAGAACACCCTGAAACTCTAGAGCTAGATAAGTGAAGGCCAGTGAAGGTCAGCAAAATTATGAGAACTAAGAATAGAAAAATAAAAAAGGAAGTTCTTTGGTCACTATACTTAGCTTTTTAATCATATTTTGCTTCTGAGAAATACTGTATCTGTATTGCATTTCAATAAACATTGTTCTAAGACCAGTCTCCATATTTGCTACATCTGGATTTTTCTATACAACAACAATGTTCCCAAGGCTCACCCTGACATCCTTCAGAAATGC